ATATATATATACATATATATATAATATTTTATCCTAATTTTATTGAAAAGATAAAACTTAATTTGTATTTGTTGACCTTGTTTCATTTCAGTACATGTCATAATATCACATGACTCAGTCTAAATCGACTAATTCATGCCAGAAATCAAATTCCTAAGTGACCCTTAGTTTTAAAGATGAACTTGTGTTCAAAGTACCCCCTGCCAACCCTTACAAACTAGAATTAAGATGGATTGTATAAGAGTTCGAACCACTTAATTCAGAGAAAATGCCAAAAGTTTCAAAGATAAAGTATTCTATTTTTTATGAAGCAAACAAAAAAATTGATAAAATACTGTAACAGAAACCTTTAGCATTCTCAAAAAGCCCAACCCCCTACAAATTAGAACCTTGTTGAGCCACATTTTTCCAGTTATTAAAATTGGAAGTCTCTTTGGGTCAGTCTCTATAAGTTTACTGTTTAGAATTTGAGGAAAAAACAAGAAGAAGTAGAGAAACAGAAAATATTTGCAAATGTAACTAGGAAGAATTGATGAAAAAAGAACCTGGAATATCTTATTGCTTAGTATTATGAATGCATGAAAGTATTTGAAGTACTATGAGACAAATTATACAAAATGTTTTAAGGAAGATAAAAACAAATTTCAAAATAAACATGAATTCTTATGCGCATCCATCTTAAGTGACACCTTCCAATATTATTTTGCCGCCCGGTAAAGAGCCCTTAAATAGATCAAATACTGAAAAAATCCCAAATCTTAAGAAATAAAGCCCTCTAACAATTCCTCCAATAAGTACAACAACATTTCTATGAAATCCTGGAGTTGTAATTGTTGACTCCATTTTCCCCTGGGGAACAAAAAGATAAGACACACTGGCCCATTTCTCTTAGCCACTCTTTGAAACGGTAGATGAGAAAAGATCCTATTAGAGTAAGGTGGATGTGTTGGTCATTATAATCCATCAAATGATGACAAGACAAAAAACAACTCACCTAAATTTTTCAGTATCTATAGGGAGGGCAAAATTAGCATTTCTTGAATGTGAAACCAGAACAAAACATGGCTGTATGAAGATCTGGGTTTATAGGTGTGTTAGATGGTTAAACTAAGATAAAAGCTCACTGTTCAAGCACTACGATATAGACTGGCCTCTTAGGGTCACCAAATCTTTAAAAAAAATCGCGACCTTTCAGCAGGACTTACTACCCTTACAGAGTGGAAATTAGCCATAGCTAGAAAGCTAGCATTAAATCCACTATGCATTAAGCTTAATTCGTTTCCTAAAATTACTTAAACTTAAGCAAAATGCCATTAAGCAAGAAATAGCTGCAATACACTGGAGAAAACGTGAATCTTATCTGACCCCTTTAACTGCTGTGTAAAGAATCCATTAAGGGATTAAAATGAATGCCGACACAGATGCAGAGCTCATGTGATTAACTCAAGCATCGAGTGTAAACAGAAACTGTCAGCATTCACAGTTCTCAGAGTCCAAGACAAGAGAGACTTTTAACAACGATGCTTTCACGGAGGTCGATCTGCTCTCTGCTTCTGTGTCTTTGGAAGACGTTTCACTACTGTTATGCAGAGGGAACCCAGTAAACAGGATGTTAGCTGTGTCACAACAAAAATTAAGCATAAAAGGGCTTATGAAACAACAGTAGGATCACGAAACCATCCATCCTCCAGCCAACCCTCTTCATATGTATGCCTTTTTGTTTAACACTTAGTATTAGTTCTCCATATAGACTTATGCAACGATGAACATAGCAGAGCAGTGGTTCCCAACCTGTGTGTTAGAATATTTTAATCAGTACCAAGATCTGGTGGTTAAAAGCCTTGGCATTTTGGTTTCACTAAACGTTTAAGGAAATTCAAAGTCTATGCTGCAGTGTGTTCGAAAAAAATTGACTACAGCTTACAGTAATTCATTTGGGAAAGAAATCCCAAGTTGGAATTTTTACACAGACTAATGAGCCAGGTATGGAAGCACTGCTGTAGGAGATAAAGTTTTTCTCACAGAATGAAGGCCTGTGTCATGTCTTTGATTTTAATGTGTGCTTGATTGTTTGCTTCCCAGTTGAGCAGCTGCCCACCATCACAGATCAGGCTCCCAGCACTCTCATCGCCTTACCCTTTGATGAGAGCTTCCCTATGACGTGTGAGGCCAAAGGGAATCCTGAGCCAGAGTGAGTATTGAGGCTTCCAACACTTCAGACAAGAGCAGAAAAGACTGGAGAGCTTCAGAGCAAGCAAAAATTTCATTAGATATAAACAGCAACAGATTACCATAAGCATAAATTGCTTGAGTGTTACCATTTGGAACAAGAAGGTTTTAGTTTAATCTAAAAGGTTTAACACTTTCACACTTCCTTTATATAGATTCCAATGGAAAAAGAATGGGGAAGATTTTGACCCTTATCTTGACCCCCGTCTGATCAAAGAAGAGAATTCTGGGACCTTTGTGATACCTAATAATGGGAACCTCACAGAGTACCAGGGAATCTATCGATGTTATGCATCAAACAAACTGGGGACGGCCATATCGAAGGATATAGAGTTCATTGTGCCAAGTGAGTAATCTGTGTATGTGTGCATATGGGATATAAGTGTCTGGAAAGGATTCAAAACCTCTAAACTTGAGTGTCTCATTGCAACAAAGCATGGTATACATCAGTGAGACTGTAGAGCCTTTTAAAACAAACTAGAAGCATATAAAGTTAATGCTTGAAAGGCAATCACATAATTCTGAGTATTATTTGCAAAATATAGTTTCTTGCAAAACTGTATTTTTTGTTTTTTTCTAATGTTACTTGATTGACGTAAAAGACTTCACCCCAACCTCGTAGTCTTTACCTTTAAGGGTATTTTTTGGTTATTCCTTTATGATGATATACCTAAAACTTTAAGGTGGTGCATAAAATTTAAATTCTGTTGTAGCTCTCTGGCAGTGTGTTTATACACATTGTTTTGGTGAAAGGTCAACCCTTCTACCTTTTAAATCTTTATTTCAGGATATCCTGCACGCTTTGTTCTTTGTAGCTACTTATTTTTATTTATCATCTATGTGCAGCTTTTCTATTTGTGCCTAACAACATGATGCTGCCATCAACCAAAAGGTTATATAAATTTCTAAGCTGTTCAGTAGATTAACAAACCTCTGAGACGTCCATAGAAGAGCTGTACTAAGACTGATTTAGATGCAGGTGGAATGTCATGTGCTTTTAAGCTAAATGTTGAAAATACTGCAGATTGCATTAAGGGGTTATCAGAGAAAATGTGAGCCAGATACAAATTTATACTTAAATTTTAGCTTATTAGTCTTAACTCTGTGCTTGATTTTTAAACTGTTTAAAGCTGTTTTCATTTTTTTGGTCTATCACATAAAAATATCTATGTTTTACTGTATATTGAAATTTCTAGTTACCGTATAAAAGGACACATTCTGAAAAACTGTCACTAGATGGGCAAGAACTCATTTGGGTTGGGAGGCAACAGTCCAAGGGAGGTGAAAGGGTGAGATATCACTTGTAGAAGTGATATCAGTTTGAATTCTGTTTTAAAATGCCAAAATTCCAATTTCCCTCAATGAAAACAAGAAAAACTACTATGGATCTACTGTTGATTTCAAGAATGATCTTACTGCCCTCTTGTGGAACAAAATAGAACTGCTTTACAGTTTTCATTCATGCTTGTTTTTCTTGTTTTTACCAGATGTTCCAAAATTCCCTAAAGAAAATCTTGAACCTCTTGAAGTGGAAGAAGGCCAACCATTTGTTCTTAAATGTGACCCTCCCAGCGGCATACCTCCTCTTCAGATTTACTGGATGACCATCAGTAAGTAAAAACTTTTTTTCCTGATCTTTCATATTAATAAATCAGAAAGCTTGTTGTGAATACTTACCACTGGATCATTTTATATAAGGTACGTTTAGACATAAAACCTTCCCTAAGCTGCAATAATCCCTTTAAACATCCATGATCTCAATATGTGTCAGTATTTACAATCTCATGCTGTGCAGACAGACATTTAACTTTAAATCCAATTTAAGAGCTTCATCATAGCCTAAGGCGATAAATGTGCCAGGATATTACCTACCAAAAATTAATATGAATTTAGATGTTTTAATGCACCACATGTGAAGATAAAGAATGAGCAGATACAGAAATCAGGGTATAATTTTCCCACCATACTAGATAAATATATTTTTAGAAAATACTTTATCAGTTTTATTTGACTAATGGGATATATGTAAAGGAATTTATCTCCATGATCTTTTTGCACTCAGATCTTCAGCACATTGAACAAGATGAAAGGGTTTCCACCGGCCTGAATGGAGACCTTTACTTCTCCCATGCTGTGGAAAAGGATAGCAGAAGGGACTACTGCTGCTTTGCTGCCTTCTCGAAGATACGAACAATCGTTCAGAAGAACGCCATGTCTGTTAAAGTCAAGACAAGTAGGTGCCGGGTCAACTGCCATGTCTTCATTCAGGCACTGCTTTTTGTTCAAGCCAAACTTGATGTAAAATTTGATTTTTCATCTTCAACAATCACAGCAATACTTCAAAAGCCACTTCAATGCCACATTTCCTGATTTACTTGCATGTTTTTGTTGTTTTTGTGTTTTGTTTTCCCATGATTCACCCACATAATCTTCATGTCGAACGCGTATCCTGTTTGTGCATTGATGTATCACTCCCTTCCATGTCAGGAAAAGGTGACAGTGGTAAGTTTGAAGTGTTCACCTCTGTTTAGCTTTTACTTATTTCAGTTTTTTTGATAATGTCAAATTTTCTTCTGCATTCTAGCCAATGCTATTCTAGAGAGAAAACCCTCTCTTCTGACGCCCCCTGGTGACAGGTCGGAGAAACAGCTGGTCAAAGGAGAAAACTTAGAATTGGAGTGTATTCCAGAAGGAATGTGAGTGAAACAACATTTATATACATTTATTTCCATATGTCCTTCAACTAAAACGAACAAAAACTTTCAGCAAACAGTTGCTCCACCTCTGAAAGTAGTTAAAAGGAGTAACTAACAAGTGTGCTGTTTTTTGTTGTTGTTTGTTTTGTTTCCTTTTTTCAGTCCAACTCCGCAAGTGGAATGGATGAAGGTAGGAGGTCAGCTTCCTGTTAAAGCAAAACTGGAGAACCACAAGAAACTGCTGATTGTTCCGAGAGCAGAACAGGAGGACAGTGGGAAGTACATGTGCAGAGCAAAAAACCTACTGGGAGAAGCTATCCATTACTTCACTGTGACAGTTGAAGGTAAAAAAAAAAAAACAGCATAATCTTAAATCATACTGTGGAGTAAATAATTTGAGTTAGTTTAAATCATTTTGCCTTTGGAATTGTGTCTTTAATCTGCCAAAAGAGCATGCATGTATCGTGGTGCAAAAAGCCCAGATTATTTAAATTTATTAGACAGCTCCAGTCAGATGTTTTCACTCAGTGTCAACAGGAATGCAGAGATGTTAACTCGCATATTAAAGGTTGAAGTATTTTTACCAGAATCAAGAAAAATATTTAGAGGATTTAAGTATGGGATTTTAAACCTAAAAACAGAGAAGGACCAACTCTCAAAGAAGTTGTTAGTGCCATAATGATGAGAGCATGCTTTGGAGCTGGTGATACTAGTACCTTACACAAAGCAGATAATATTAAAAAAGAAGACTTCTTTAATATCATTTAACCTCATTATCTAACTTTAAATCCTAAGTTAAATGGTTGAAACTTGGACACAGCTGGATGGTCCAAAGCATCAAAGATGGTTTTAGAAGAAGAGAAAAGCATGGCTAAAGGCCCTGATCTCAACCCCATGTAAAATTTATTAGGCATGCATTAATTTTAAATCAACTTGGCAGCTTCTGTAAAAAATAAATTTGACCTATTCACAGAGATTATGGATGATAAAGATTTAAATTTATCCACATCCTTACAACATGGTAAGGAAGGACACTACAAATGTTTGAAACAATTTAAGAAGTAAACTCAAATTGTCATTTAGATGCTTTACATTCAGGATAATCATCGGAAATTAACTCCCTGTTATCTGATGGTATTGTTGGAATGTAATTAATTTCATTTTTATTAATTAGTTCCCAGACTTTATGAATTACATGCCAATTTTATTAGTTATCATTTTAACTCAGAAGACTTAAGGTGGATGGAAAGAGTAGGTCAATTGCTATAGCCTGCAGCCTCTAAACAAATGGAACAAAGAAAAAGTTCAGGGAAAATCAAGTATGCATATTTTGCAGGAAGCACCCGGTTCTTGAATTGAATACAAACTCCTCTGTTCACCAAAACATTCTTCTATTAATCTAAGGCCTCTGTCTTACAACTGAAATATTGCTGGAATTGCATCACGGACAGGACAATGAACCAAAACATAGCAGCAAATCTAGAAATAGAATGCTTGGAAGAGAAAATAATCAGTGTTAAAATGCTCCAGTTAACGTCCAGAACTCAAACTGATTTAAATGCATTAAACAAACTGTGTGATGAAACTACCCCTAAAACGAGAATGAACTTAAGCATTGTTCTATAGAAGATGCTGGTCAGACTAAAATTACTGATCCAACTTACTGGCACAAAAAATTGTTTCCAAAATAATTAATTATTGGGTTTACTTAATGTTTGTAATCACTCTATATAGCATTAATTTGCCTTGACCTGTTGGTCAAGGAAGACAATAAGTGCATTTTATTGAAATAGAGCACATTAAAGATTTACTCACTGAGATATTTAGTTACCAAGAAAAAAATTCTATAAAATAAACAATGACAAGCCCTTTACTGTTGATGCTCTGTTATTCGGGTTTCGTTGAAAACAGGGAATCAACACAGATTTTCTTGTATGTTTCTCTAGACAGTTGTTGTTTGATTTTAGGTAACTAAGTTAGCCCCCCCCTTTTTTTTTTTTTTACTTTCACTCTGATATACAGTAAGTTTTGTATTTGCTCTATGCTGACATTCATTTTATGAACAGTATAATACAGGTATGTGTGAGGAGGAATTGCACTTTAGTCCTGCATTATGCTGAGGGTCATTCTTAGGTCCTGTGTACCATTGTCGGTCTATGTCTAAAGGCTTTGGATGGTAAACAGCATTCATTTATCCTGCATAATAGACACTGAATAGGTCTGTTTGTCTGTTCCCTCTGCAGTCTCTAGTCTTGTCTGACAGTTTGATAAAATTGTGCTGACTGTGTGTTCCCAGGGCCTCCAGAGTGGGTGTCAGAGCCAGAGAGCCAGCTCAGTATGATCGGCTCAGATGTGCATATAAAGTGCTCCGCTAGTGGGGTCCCAGAGCCAACCATCACATGGAGGGTGAACGGTGAACTTCTTCTTGGTGAGCTCTGCAATGCCCTTTCTAATCCTTATGTAGCTGCTGAAATACTTTTTGAGACAGAGAGTAAATATATTTATGATGAAAGTTTTTTTTCTTTTGTAACACAGAAAGCACTGAATAATTATAATAAATAAATAAAAAAACACTTACAGTACCTCACAGAATTAAGTTTTTATATGCCAATAATCTAAAATGTTGTTGCACCCTTGCTTCTACTGCAGAATCCCCAGCACCCAATAGGAAGTTACTTGGTGATACCATCATTTTACACAATGCTAAAGCTTCTGACAGTGCAGTCTATCAGTGTGAGGCCTCCAACAGACACGGGACCCTTCTATCCAATGCCAACATCATGATCATGAGTGAGTACAACAGCTTCTGTTTGTGTTGGCCCCAGTTTCCATCAGTTCAGTTTCACCATCATGTCTTTCTCAAGTACATAAGAAAAAAAAAAAACAAAGCATGTAGATGGAAATTTCTGCAAAATCTCACTTTCACAGCCTCTGTGAGGATGTGTCAGACTTTGCAGGGAGTCATTTACAGGCTGCTGACTGATGTGTCGCGCTTTAGAGCTGGCACCCATGCTGGCATATGCCCATTTAGCAGTGAGGATCCCAGGGAAGGAGAGCTGTCTGCAAGCTCTTTCATTTCACTCAGCCACGCAGCTCTCCAACGAGAAGCAACAAGCTTCTGTTCTCTGCCATTTATATGCTAACAGATTCACCCTACATTCTGTGCTTATTTTAACTAGTAATAGATGAACACATGCTGCCATAGGAGTGCAGATGAAACAGCAAACACAGGATTTTAGTTTCTGTCTTTGTCTGGAGTTTCCGTTCAGTGACACAAGAGTTATTAAAGCTGGACAGTGTCTGAATGCTAACTCCCAGTACCTGCTCTAGTGAACAAAAAGGAGAGCCAGAGCATCCCAATGGGAGGCTTTGGCTCAAATTGATAAGGTGCATGTACTCAACTAACTCATTATTATTTTTGTTCTGCTACGATCTGATTTTCACACTCCTGACATCCTGACTCCTGGCTCATTTATTTCACTTACTCACCTAAGTGTTGTTAATACATGCGTAAGGGAACAGCGCTCTCACCTTTTTCACCTCAATTAATATGCAATTGACTGCATAATTCCTTTGCTGTTTTATGAACTTTAAAAGAGGAAGCCAGATCTCCCCACCTGCCGGTGTGGTCTAGTAAAAAGCTGTTATGTTTTTACACAGAAAGCCATCCACGTTCTTTTTTTTTAAACAAGTAAACACTTAAACAAGTATTCTTTGCAGATCTACAGCCTATGATTCTGACCAATAATGGGGAAGATTATTCTACAGTGGAAGGGAAGGGTGTGATAATGCACTGTAAGGTCTTCAGTTCTCCTCCTTCAACAATCACTTGGTAAGTGTTCTGGTTCCTTTCAGCCCAATCCCCCAGCAGGGAGCAGTAGAGTCTCAGCATGTTGCTCTATTGTCTGCAACGATTCAGACACCTGCCAGTCTTTTAAAACATTTTTCAAATATTTGCAGTGCCTTGGCACAATATTGATAACTCATAATTTTCTTGCATCACAGCTGCAAACTTGAAGGTTTTATCCATAAAAAGTAGAGCATACTGTACGTTTAAGGTATCAATTATTTAATTGCTGCAAATAAAAGATAACGTGCTTTTATACTTAGCTTCCTATCTTCTTAGATTTAAATGTGTATAATCTAGTGCAAACAGTTGCCTTTAGAAGTCCACTGATTGATAAGACCACCTGTGTGTAATTTAATCTCAGTATAAACCCAGCTGTTCTGTCAAGGCTTCAGAAGGTTGTTAAAGAGCATTAGTGAACAATTAGCATAATTAGGACAGGAACCACTGCAGACAGGTGAGGGGAAATGATTTATGGAGAAGTTTAAATCTGAGAATATTAAATAATATCCTGAAAACCACTTCACTGCCAATGGAGACAATGTAATTCAAGAGATGCTACAGTCTGCAGCTCAAATGGAGAAATATGTTGACGAGAATGTTATATATTTTAGTTTACAAATGTTACCCTATAGGAGGAGTGGCACCAAGAAAGCCAAACCATCATAATTTCTAGAATAATGTTCGTCACAAATTATGTAAAGGAAAATTATGTAAACAGGAAAAGTGGTCTGGTCAGATGTGATAGAAATTTTTTGGCCTGTATAGATAAAATCCTATAGCTATTGACTAAATATTATAGCTTGAGATTAAACCAACGCTGCATATTACATAAAAAACACCCTCAAAAGTGTGAAAAATGAGGGTGGAAGGTGGGGTTTTGGTACATCATTGCAGTAGCTGCAAATTAGCTTGTTGGAGTTTCCTGGAAAAAAAAATAAATGCAAGGCAACAGCCTGGAGACTGATGGTGCTTCACACCCTCTGTGAAACCAATTAAAGACTTGCCAGTTTTGTGTGCATGAGAGCATTCAGGAACCCAGACAGAAGCGGCAGGATATCAAAGCAAGAACCCCAGCATGAGAACACAAGAACAGGGACAAGGTGGCCAGCCACACCCCTCTCTGGTGCTAAGCAACCACAGCAGTAGATCTGAGCAGTCCATCAGGCAGTTAGAGCGCCAGAACGAGGGAGAGGTGGTGGCTGACTGGGGCTTTTTTTCTCTATAATCCATTTTGATCAAAAAAAGCGTGTCTCTGCTGAGCTCATTCTCTCTGTGACACAGGAACATCTAGTCTCTGAAGATACACAAGAGTTGAGATTGTTCAACTCATGCAGATCCCATTCTTTGCTGTATTGCCCAAAAACTTGCCTTTCACCTCGCCAGAACTTTAACCCTTGCTAAGTTTTGTCTTTCACTGCCCGTTAGCCACCCTCTACATGAGGATAAAAATAGTTTTCTCCAGTGTGAACCTTGAGGCAGGGTTTTTGTCCAACAGCTCCACTGTAATGGTTTTGATTGAAGTGTATTCTTGTATTGGAATGGCCAAGAGAAATTCCTGAGTTCAGGTAAACTGAAAATTTGTGAAAGAACTCAAAAACTCATGTCCACCGATGCTGTAAAAATATGGAATAGTTCCAATACTCTTACAAAGCACTGAGACTGTACATTTCCCTGTAGTAACTTTTTTTATGTGTTCTAAATTATTTATGATTATTTTATACCAAAAACTTGATTTTTTTTTAAGTATCTTGTTTCTTTTTTTTTTTTAGGAGCAAAGATGACCTATCTGAATCTGTTGACGGTCCCAGGTTCACAGTTCATAACAATGGTTCTCTGGAGATCAACAGCGTGGAGGAAAGTGATGCGGGACAGTACACGTGTCTGGCCAAAAATACAGAGGGATCATCTGCCATTGATGCTATGCTTTACATAAAAGGTAAACACTTGGCCCAAACCAAAAATGTAGCACCAGCAGCAAGCTCACTGTGCAACTAACTCATCTTTCCTGTGGAAGATCCCACTAGAATAGTGTTGGCCCCAGAGGACCTACAGATCTTAAAAGGTACCACAGCTCGACTCTCCTGCCTGGCAGAGTACGACAAGTCCTTCAGCAATGACTTTGAGCTCCTATGGGAGAAAGATAACACAGAAATAGCACTCAACTACACTGAGGATTCAAGGTAAGATACTGATTTTTGTTTATTTTTCAAACATTGCTGATATAGTCAAAGCTCAAATAGTAGTTTTTATTCTACCTTATACTGTTTGGCAAAAATGTCATTGTTCTTGAATTTTATTCCATTTCTATGCTGCTATTATTGTTAGCATTTTATGGGTTATTGTGACATGGTTGCCTTTTCTTCTTAGTTAACTAGTTTTCTAAGGTTGAATAAAGAAAATCTGTGTATATGAATATTTAACCGTGTCAAATAATCTTATTTGGATTGAGGCCTGGACTTTGACTGGACCTTTTTTTTTTTTTTTTTTTTTTACAAATGACTACTTTTACTTACATATTTGCATTGTAGCTCTATATGTTTTGTACTTTAGACTCCCTCAATTGTTCTGAACAACACTGTTATTAAAATTGTTGAAGGTCTGTACTTTTATAGTGTTGTATCAAGTTCAAGTACCCAAAAGCACATTACATTACATTCAGTTATTAATTTATTCATTAACACATTGATGTTGGTACAGTAAGCTACATTGTAGTTAAGGCTGCCCTGGGGCAGACTGATAGAAGTAAGGCTGCCATACAATCAGCTCTTTGCTTAATTTATTAATGAAGTATACTAAGAAAATTTTTCAGACTGTCTGTTTTTAGTCAGAGCAGTCAGGGAGATTACATGTCATTGACAGGTTCATATCCCCAAGCTGAGATGATATATGCTCCTACTTTTTTAATAGTTGACAAATATGCCACCAAGTGTAGACTGTATGGCCATTTCTAGTTATTACCACCAATAGATCTCCAAAGTTTAATATATGTTTTTCTGTTCCAGTATTTTTTATTCTCATTACACTGTCACAAATATATAGCAACAAAATGAACTCTGTGATTTAACCCATCCCCTTAAGGGAGCGATGGGCTGCCATTGTGGCAATCTGTTGGAGTGGAGCTTGAACTCAGAACCTCAGGATTCCAAGCCCTATGTCCTTACCACTAGGCCTGCCTCATGGCTTTCTCTACAGCTGTGTCTCTTGATCTTTCTGATTACCTATTTGTTCTCTAGCAAAACTCTCAGGCATTTACAGAACAGTTGGATTTAGTCTGAGCTCAAATAATGTGCAGGTGTGCCCTGTTTACTATTTATTTAACAGATTGGCTGCTCTGGATTAATGCAGGGATTTACCATGGGTGTAAGCATGCATGTATGTGGGCATGTATAGAGTTTATGTTAGGTTTAGGGTTAGGTATGTGTCAGTGATGAAATGAACACAATATGAATGGAAGTTAACGCAAAGTCCCCACAAGGATAGTGTAATACAACATGTTTGAATGTGTGTTGTTTAAAAAAATGTTTTTATGGTTTGAAATAAAAGTGTACATTTAGGGATATTAATGTTTTAACAAGATAAGATTAGTCAGCCTGTTTTCTTTCTCCATCTCTCTGTCAGTAGATACATTTTGGAGGATAGTAATCTTCACATCGTCAATGTTAGCCACAGCGATCAGGGTGTGTATAGGTGTGTGGCCAAGACTCCATTGGACAGAGACACTGCCTCAGCCTCCCTCAAGGTGTTAGGTGAGAAAACACAGGATCTCTACTTTTTTTCGTGGTCAAAGCATAAAAAAAAACAGAATTATATTTGTAAAGGGATCAGGAGTACAGAAAATACAGTGCTTGCCTTTGTTGCACAGCAGCATTTCTGACAAGCCACTAAACCATCCCCTGCCCCCCATAGCTGTAGTGCAAGATACTGCTGACATCTCACAATGGTAAACACAAAAGCGTCAGAGATTCAGATCGTTCCACATCCTCTGACTCTTGGGACAACTTGATTGAACATTTTTTGCTTTGGCCTTTCTTGCTTGTAGAGATTGATGTCTGTGTGTGTATCAGTTTTTTTCTTTTTGTGTGTGTGTGTGTTTTTTTTTTCCTTTTCTTTCACTAAAAGCTACTTTGTTGGGTTGATTTCCAGATGTCCCTGATGCTCCTGAGAACTTGGTACTTTCTGAGCTCAAGAGTAAAAGTGTGAAGCTAAAATGGATACCCGGGGATGACCACAATAGCCCACCCACAGGTGCATAGGTGTAAACATACACAGAACACACCACATCAAAGCCATGAATGGCATTAATAAGTCACACATTTCTGCTCATCATACTGGATCCATCACAGAACTGTTTAATTAAATCTTGTAAAATCTAAATCCATTATTGATTAATCCAAGCATGAATTCTGGTTTGTGTCCCAGAGGAGGAGGGAAGCCAAAAGGATGGTTTGAGGAGGGTTCAGCACAGCTGGAGTTTAGATAAGCAATCCTTTGGAAAGGGTCCACTTTAATGATATTTATGCCTGTCAACAGAGTTCATCGTTGAATACGAGGAAAACAAGTGGGAGCCGGGAAACTGGAAGGAGCTGCTCCGAGTCCCTGGAAATCACAATTCTGCTGTCCTCAAACTCCACGGTCACATCGAATATCGCTTCCGGGTGTACGCCGTCAGCGATGTTGGGGCAGGGCCACCTAGTGCGCCCACAGAAAGATACAAAACTCCCCCGTCAGGTGTTTATTCCATGTTGTGATAAGGTCTACCAAGGCCATTGAGCTTTTCTATGCCACGGCTCTGTGGGCTTTAAAGCAGCCAGACCTGCTGCATAATTGAATCCACTCTTGTTGAAAATCTGCTCTCCTGTGCACCCCTTTCACTGAAGATTTCTTCCACTAACAATGCTGACAAAAATCTATATTTCTTCTTTTGTATAGCCCCTGACAAGAACCCAGAAAATATCAAAATCGAAGGTCGTTTGCCACATGAAATGGATATCAACTGGGAGGTAAGAAGCAGAGAATGGCCCTTTATTATTTTTTTTTTTTACCTCAATTTTGCACCCTACCTTTGCATAGTATGATTTTCCTTTTCGCTTGAGCTCATAGAATTCCTCTCTATGATCAGAGATGAAGTTTTATCAATGTTTCATTTTCAAGCAGAAATAATTGAAGAAGTAGAAATGGTCTACTTCTGATATTTCTCTCTAGTGGAGATCTGAGGAAAACCTTTCCTGGTATTGCTATGAATATGTTTCTATTGAAAGCAGCTTCTTTTCTTTGATTAGAAAGCAAAAGAGAAGGCGGTGAAAAGAAAATCTTTTTAACGTTCACAGTCATCCATTTGCCTTTATTGTAGAAAGATGAATCTCTTCTTCACTTATTATCTGCTTGCCCTGTCACCATAATATAGCCTCTGATTTGTGGATTCAAGCTCTCCCACTGTTAATGATTTGCTTTTGTGGATAATGGTATCTTATTCTATTTCTCACACTCTGATTTCAGTGAGAAGATTAATCTTTTTATCTGCAGCTTCTTAGCAAGCTCTGTATTAAATAAAAGCCTTGCTGCTGGACCATGTCAGTGGCTCCAGTGTTTTATTAGACACCAGGAAGAAATTCTGACACAGATCCAAGTGCAGCTCCCCGGCTATGCTTGTCATTTTAATCCTGCACACACTGGGATTGACACTAACTAGTCACACCCACAAAGCATCTCATGCAACTCTGAATGTGTCAATGAAACTTTTATTCCCTCTGTCTCACACATACAGCCTCTGATGCCTATAGAGCACAATGGCCCTGGTCTAGAGTATAAGGTGAGCTACAGGCGACAGGATGTGGAGGAAGACTGGAAGGAGCACACTGTGAAGAGGCACTCATTTGTTGTTTGGAACACTCCCACATTCGTTCCATACGAAGTCAAGATCCAAGCCAAGAACAATCAAGGCTGGGGCCCAGAGCCCAGGATTGTGAGTGGCTATTCAGGAGAAGATTGTGAGTACTACAGCATTTCAGTTTAATCCACACTTATACCTATTTGGGTTTTAGATGGTTTTATGGTACAAAAAGAAACTGGTTAATGATACCTAATGGCATTTCCTCTTACACATATTTTGGTTGTGCTTTTAGACTCATTACTATAAGCTAGTGTTGCGCTGATGCCATTTTTTGGCCCCAATATCGATATCTGGCTGTGCAGTATTGGCCGATACTGATATCATACCGATACCATCAGTTTGAAATTGATGTGCGTGAAATGATGAACTGCATACTATTTGGATGTAAAATAATTGCCATCATGGCTTTGTCAAGCTGCTGCCTACCTTTGTGAAGCAGGAAAAAGACTGATACAAATTGAATCCAGTAGAACTTTTTATTGCCTACCTGGAATTGGTGACAATAGTTGAATGAACATTTGCCTCTCAAAATGGTATTGGTGCCCTATTTGTTGGTACTCACCTATACTGATACCACCATTTTAGTGCTGGATCGGGGCCCCGCGCGATACTGGTATCGGAATCGGTGCAACACTATTACAAACCCATGTTAAAAGTTCCATAAATATTGAAATACATTTTGTATAAATTATTCTGACATTTCCTGACTTGAGTCAGATATGATAAGTGTATTTCAATCTGAAAAACTCACACGATGAGAAACGACAATTAGGAGAAATGTATTTATGCAATTACTTTGTCTTTGGCCCTCAGACCTCGGCAGGAAACATAGCGGTTAATTTTTATAGATATGCATGAAGCGGAGCGAAGAATAAGGCTGTTTCCCTCCAGGCCTGAAACTGGTGGTGGAGTGGAGATGGATGAAGCTGGTCAGTCTGTAGACTGCTGGTTAGTGAGACAGTATGCTGAGCTTTATGGGGAGATCCAGTGGATTGCGTGAGCTGATACTAGAGCTTCACTCAGGGACCTGGAAGATGGAAGTCCAGTTGGATAACACAGGTTGAGAGAACCTGTCCATGATGAGCAAGCATGGAGCGACAGTGGAGAGGAAAAACTCCCAATTAGGTAGAAACCTCTGGCAGAACCAGGCTCAACATGGCAGTCTTCTGCTGGACCGGTTGAGATGAGACAGGGAACGCAGTAAGAGTCCGGGAGGAATGACACTCTGATGAAGCTTTAGCTACAATGGTGGAGGAGGGGCTGGAGGTGGATTGAAACAGTGTAATCTGAATGAAGTCACAGCGCATCCGCCGCCTGCGCACAGAGCAGCCAGGTGGATCGGAGGCCTTTTAAGATGAACTCTGGATGCTGATTGGCTTTCACGGAGGTGTGGTTCAAAACTGATTGGCGGTGTCGCAGGTGGATGTAGGACAGCAATGAGTTTCTTCAGTTGAACTTCCACCTAGGCTCCATTAATTCAACTGAATATAATTCCATGATTAGAAATTCTAANGCTGAGCTTTATATGGAGATCCAGTGGACTGCGTGAGCTGATACTAGAGCTTCACTCAGGGAACTGGAAGATGGAAGTCCAGTTGGATAACACAGGTTGAGAGAACCTGTTCATGATGAGCAAGCATGGAGCGACAGTGGAGAGGAAAAACTCCCAATTAGGTAGAAACCTCTGGCAGAACCAGGCTCAACATGGCAGTCTTTTGCTGGACCGGTTGAGATGAGACAAGGAATGCAGTAAGAGTCCGGGAGGAATGACACTCTGATGAAGCTTTAGCTACGATGGTGGAGGAGGGGCTGGAGGTGGGTTGAAACAGTGTAATCTGAATGAAGTCACACAGCGCATCCACCGCCTGCGCACAGAGCAGACAGGTGGATTGGAGGCCTTTTAAGATGAACTTTGGGTGCCTATTGGCTTTCTCGGAGGTGTGGTTCAAAACTGATTGGCTGTGTTGAAGGTGGATGTAGGACAGCAATGAGTTTCTTCAGTTGAACTTCCACCTAGGCTCCATTAATTCAACTGAATATAATTCCATGATTAGAAATTCTAATTTGAAATAGAATCAACAAAGCTTTTCGAACAAAATTCCTGCTAAAACTAGCACATTCCCACAGTATGATGCAACCTTCACTATGTAGTACTGTTAAGATATATTCAAGGTGACTTGCAGTACTAGTTTTCCTCTTCATATAGCATTTTGGGTTAAGGTCCAAAGGTTCTGTCTCATCTGTTCAGAACACTCTTGTTTAAAGACTGCTGCAATTATTAGGCTTTTACCACTAGATCAGCCTTGATTTATTTCATTTGGATGATGTGCAATCAGTCAGTGCTTGGCCCCATCCAATCTACCTCCGCAGAGGTCCCAAGATTAGCTACTGTAAATACTCTAAAGTTGTAATTTACATTTTAGAGTGCTATCTCGTGTGAATGCAGAAAAAATTTAGTTATCACAGGTGTTAAAAAATGTTTTTTTCGAAAACAAAGCGGAACTTTTTTGTATATTTCCTGTTTGCAACTAAAAGTGTTTGTCATAAAAATATTATCAGAATAAATAAAAAATTGCAGGTAAGGTCTTTAAAGATTGTGATCAGCTACGATGCTGCAATTGATCCATCCCCACTAATAGTTATTTACTTTATTTTTAGGCTTTGTACAAATCTTTACTATTAGTGTCATTAATGTGGCTACTGTCCATATCCATTAAAGCTACACTGTGTAATAAATAGAGGGATTTACTAACGTAATTGTAATATATTATAGATAAGTATATGATTTATTATGACCTAAAAACTGAAAGTCTTAATCTTTATGTTTGTGCTGCCTTACAAATTGCTATTTATAGATACATAGAAACAGGCCTCGCATGTATGGAGGCAGCCATCTTTATGCTCTGGTATCACAGAGATCACCATTATGTTTGAATGTGACTGCTGCAAATTAAGTCTACATAAAAACTGTATGCTACACAGAGTAATAAAATATTTTCCTAAAATGTCTTTTGTAAACAAACCTTGTCATCACTTGACAAGATAGGTGATGCAGACTTTGCGGAATTCATTTTGTACCATGACAGCCTTTGTAAAGTTGGAGAGGAAGAAGCAGTGGGGGGAGTGGTTCATGTTGTTGTCGTCTGATCATTAGGTTTTGCTCAAAATTACACACTAGCTTCTAATAGCCTGCTTTAATAGCTCTGATAAATTAGCTGTATTCCTTCTAAAAGTAAGGAGAGTAAAAATTGTCAAGTCCTAACACATTTTTACACAAATTTATACTTACTTAAAACAGATATATGGTGATTTTTTTTATCAAATAGAATAGTGCTTTAGAGCCAGTTATATTTTGATAACAGTTTAGCCCTCTATCAACATTTCACTCTCTTTTGAAATGTTTCTACATTTGCAAAAGAAAAACATCAGCCTTTGTGTCATGATTGTGCATATTTTGGATCTGTTTAATCTTTCTTTTTGAGTTTTTATTGGTTTAATATCCATTTTGTGTCATTCTATTTGTTTTCTGGTTTCATTTGAGTTCTTATGTATTTCTTGTTTAACCTCTTGTCCCCTTGTGTCAGTCTCCTTTCCCAAAGCGCCCTTCTAGATCCTTCTATCCACACCTGCTCCCAATCAGTTCATTACACCATTCTTTGCTCTGTTTGGCATATATACTCCTCCTCCTCTGCGGTTTGCTGAAGTCTCTTCATTCCTTTCTTAACCCATGTGTTCCCTGTTGTTCTGTTTTTTGTTCAGCTTGAGCAGTTGTTTTTTTGGATTTATGCTTCTGTTGCCACTACTTATTAAATCAACCAGAAATCACCTCTTGCTTCTGTCTCTGCATTTGGGTCGTCTAAAAACCTCCACACAACCTGACACCGTGTCATTTTCTTTGACACCATTCTATAAGATATCTTACAAAAGATGAAACCTTCACCTCAAGCTGTGCCTTTGATGTAACACAGGGCTAAAAATCACAAACCTTAATTTCTTACTATGTTCTCATTTTTTCTCCGTAAATTTTTGATTTATGTCAAGAAGCACTGGTTTGAACCAAAAAGCTGGCATGAGATTACCAAAACTTAAGGAAAACTCAAAAACGAAGCTTACACTTTTTGTAAAGATAAATCACAGTATGATGCATATTAATTTAGACTTCTGCATATATTCCATACACAGATCACCTATCACTTAGCAAAAGAATTGTCACTTCTATGAATACAAGAGTGGGAATTGGAGAATAAAACACAAGTTACAGGCCTTCCATTGAAAGTCACATCTCTTACTCCTCCTTCTGATATTGAAAACCAAAATCATCATATTCATTAATTTAATTTACAGTCCTAATGGTGAAGTGCTGCACTGTATACATATGTCGAGCTTCTTTGTTTCCTTGAACAACTCATATTGTAATGCATAGTGGTGTGAGCATCATGCTGTCGGGGTGCTTTTTTTCCAGGAAGGACATTTAAGCTGAGGAAAGTTATTCAAAAGAGGTATGGAGCTAAAGCTGGAAAAATTCTAGATAAACGCCTAAAAGCTGTAAGAAAATACTTAAGATTGAGGCCCAGCTTCAGGTTTTAGCAGGGCAATAACCACAAATTCCTCTGATTCCACTCTGCACAGATGCATTACATTGTGCTGGTCTACCCCATATTATCGAAATACTGTAACATATAGAAAGTTGCGGTTTTAGTCTCAGATAATGTGGAAAAATAGTTAAGATATATGGTTTGCTTTGTTAGTTATTACCTTTTTTAATGTTTTCATCTTATTTGTCTTCACTGTATGGTAAACTTCAATTAATGAAACTAATTAATTGACTTTTCACTTAATGTCACAAGTGCTGACCAGTTGTCTAATATTTGTTACCTCTGAAAATACCTTTTTCAGCTGCAATATAGTATAACAGCATTTTCCTGTTGACTTTTTATGATGTTGTGTTGTTCAGCTGCAGGGCCTCGCTAAAGAGCAGAGGCAGCTACAGTAATATTTTCTGTATCATCTAAAGTTTTTTAAAGGTCTTAAACAGCTGGATTCTAACAGAGTCCGGAGTAGTGGGGGTTTAATGTATGATTTAATCCAAGATAACAATGTTTGTGTTAAACATGTATTTCCTGTGTTTAGCATTCTTCTGGACTTGTCCTGTGGATGTCACCTCAGGTTATAACACCACCTCAGTGTTGTGTGCAATCCGTAATATAGTGTTAATTATTTGGTTCCTCTTTTTATCTGCTTTCTGAGCCATAGATCCCCTTTTCTATAGCTAGTCAAGCAAACATTTGTGTGTTTAATTTTGTTTTTATAGATTATAAAGTGTCATTTTTTTTTTTTAGAAAAGTTGTCCACAGAGTTCCTCAGACTAGCCTTGTCTCGCTGCTATGGCTCTCCCAGACTGACTCAGCTTATAACTGATTCTGATGTGTGTTTTCCTTGGCAGTTCCCTCTGCTGCCCCTGATGATGTTGCTGTGGAGGTGATGAACAGCTCAGCAGTCAAGGTTACCTGGACACGCGTACACAAGGACAAGCTGCATGGACATCTGGGAGGCTACAGGGTAATGCCTCTTAAAACACAGCCTTTCTATCAGACACAGTTAAAAGGAATGGCCTCGACCTTGCTCTCAACGTTTGCTTCTCGTGCCCCTGTCTGCCATCTACACTGATAATCTCAGTGTTTCTTTGTTCGCAACAACTCTTTTGGCATCTCATTGCACAGATGTATATGCATAATGTAGAAAGCTTCTGTCTGTGCTGTAGATAAACTGGTGGCGTTTGCGCAGTCTGGTGGACTCGAAGAAAAGCCACGGAGACAAGCACTCCTTGACGTTCCCTGGGGACCGAACCCATGCCACAGTGCCGGGCCTGACGCCCTTTTCTGAATACAGCCTCATCGTCATGACCTTCAACGGGCGGGGTAACGGTCCAGGCAGCCATCCAGTCAACTTCAAAACCCCAGAGGGAGGTAAGGTTCTGGCAAAGCAGTATTGATTTGCAGCTTTTCAAAAAGAGAGGTCTAACCAAGAAAGTATATTTCTATTACTTACTGTGTGCTTTTTGCTCCCTGTCCTATCAGTCCCAGAGAAAAATTCAGATTTCAGAGTCACTGATGTAAAGAGGGAATCTGTCTCTCTGGCCTGGGGCCCTCCTATAGAGCCTAATGGGATTCTAACAGGGTACCTTCTGGAGTACCAACTGAGTACGTATTTCTCTTTAACTGGTAAGACTGATGATGCTGAATTGAGATGTTCTTCCTTCTAAAGTATGCTTCTACAAGCTAGATTTAAATTTATCATTTGTCAAATATTCACATGTTAAATATTGATACTTTTCTTAGTACTATGTTGCACTAAGCCTTGTAAAGTATGAAATTCTATCTTTATAAAAACTTTCAGTAAAACTACAAATGTTTTAAGGAAATACGGTCTATAGACAAATCTTTTAAAATAAACAAGTATAAGATGACATAATTCAGTGATGTCCAAAGTGCAACTTGCAAGCCAGTTGTGTCTCTTTAAATTATATAGTTTTGGTCACTCAATTTTGGTCACATGACTTCTAACAAGCATAAGATACTGACTTGACTCTCTCCAACCCTTTAGGTGGCAGTAATACGCTTAAAGTCAGTTTGCTGCCACACACAAGGGAAGAAAGAATTCCCGTTATGTCTTAGATCTACGTCAATGAGTAGAAGTAAGCACTTTCCTGCACAATAATGATAGTAAAGTCCAGCCAAAATGGGGATTGAAAAAGCAAGCTTTCAAGTTCATAAACACAATATTTGTCTGGGGTGAAAAACTTACATTTTTGTGGTAAGTGCAAAAGAAAATTGCTTTTGCGATATTGCTCAAAGATAATAGAAATGTACATTTTTGGCAAATCTTCTAGCCTTACCTTTTGCAGTAACATAAGCTGGTTAGTGGAAAATAGTATTAAGTTTGCTGTATCTCAGAGTGTTGTATCCAGACACCTGACATGTGCACATGCTTTGCTGATCTTGAGCAGAATTCATAACAAAGGTAATGACTAAAGCCAAGCATACACTGTATTATTCTTTGCCCTTTTCGAGCTGATTCTCCAGACTTTCAGCCTGATCATGTGTCCTGCGCTGTGTAGTATACAGAGGGTAACTAGGGGAGATTAGCCTCTCAGGACCACCTCCCGATCAGAAATCGTAAGGTTGGGAGATAATCAAACGTGTTTGAAATGCAGTCAGCCATGGTGAGGTGTTTGTGGAAAAATCCTTCTGTTGAAGCAGAGCTACGAGCTGATTTACCAGAACCTTGAGCACTGCGCATGTGCCAACAGTGGAGTTCTCCTTCTTATTCTTTCAGATTGACAAGTCTGACCAGCGCCATCTCTCGGCACTGAGTCCGACATGTGGTTTTTGAATGTGCAGCGTGAGAAGGTAGATCGCATCAGAGCATCGGGTTATACAGTGCGAGAACATGCACCGTGAGCTGTGAACTTTTAAACCCAGCCGTGTCGTCATACAGTTCGAGTTGTAACTGCATGCAAGGATTGAAAATATTGTACAGTGTATGCCCGGCTTTAGTGCAGCTCAGCAAATGGAGTCTGATTTGGTCACTGCACAAGATGGCTAAGCATCAGGCATTATTTCAGGAAAGGACGTTTCAGATGGTGTGCCACAGCAATTAGGCTGATGGGCTGTTTGAAGTGTGACTCTTTGTTGAAGTACCCTTGACGGAAGTTGTGCGAAATGCTGAGGACAATTCAGCCAGCTGTTGGAGTATCATCAGTGACTTAAGTGAAATCTCAAGCTGCAGCACAGCTGTTCAGGAACCAAGGCAGCCATACAGTAACATCAGCTCTCACAGGTTTCTGACGAACCTCTAACATGACATGTTTAATAGTCTGGGCTGTTCAGATTGTCACTGAGTTAAAATCCCTTAAAAAAATGTCTTCAAATTTTTCTAACTTACCATGACAAACCAGCAACATCCTAGACATTAAATAGTTTACTTAATATACTTGACAGAAATTAATATGTTACATCAAAAAAGTTTTTAACAGATCAGTGCATATAAGTATAAAAATGCAAAGTGCAAGTGCAAAGCGTTAACAGCAATATTAACTGCTCATGACTGTAAGATAAAGCAGGCTGATCTGTTCTGCTTTGGCACCACTAACCTGATGGCAATACATCTGAATAGTTTATTAAGAGTGCGTAAGGAGTCTTTTACAAGGTTCAAGAGGATTAGACTGCCTATCATAAAAACGTCATCACTACTAATATGCACATTTTTAATGTGGAAAAAAAGTTATTTAGAATGTAGTTTTTTAATTTTATTTCTTAACTGTCAAAAACTGGGGCAAATGAAAATATAAAATGATTACTGAGCTGACATTTAAATAGTTTTAGTGAAATAAACATGAATGTGGAGCCTTTCCTAAACTGACATTTTCCAAATAATGCCAGACTGGTGCTCCATAATGCAAAGATGGTGAAAGCTTGGAGTAACTTTGGTGTACACATCATAACCTGCCTGTTATTTGCTATTTGTTGCACTCTTGCTGTAAGATTCTCCTGTCAGTGCAATCTGTAGCATTTACTGTTATCAAAAGATTATGATTTTAAGCTTCTATAATCCAATCATTGACCAGGGCAGATGATGCTTAACATCTGGTCAACTTTCCGTGCATCTCAAGTGGTTTTTAGTTTTATCAAAGGTATATAGACTGGGTCCTTTTTTAGCAAACATCTACAGATGTCATTCAAAGTTCTGAGTTAAAAAGTAACACTGCTAAATAAATTTTTCATTATTTTATTTCATTTATAGCTTTTGTGTTTGTACAGATGGGCACGAACACTTAAAACCAGTCTAGTATAGTTTGCACTCCAGTGAAATTCAATATTGATCCAAGTGGGTGTCGAAAATGACTTTGGCATCAGTTTTCTCTGTGTTGCAAATTCTGGCTTGTTTCACACTTTATAAAGCCAGCCATGGTTGGCGCTGGGCTGAAGAATATTTGGATTTGCTGTTGTTTGTCGGCAGTTGACAAGAAAGAGTCTGCAGCCTTTCACCATTTCACTCTACAAAATTGTGAACACAAGCTGGCAGGCCACATGGTTTGTGGAAGAGTTACAACATCAAGCATTAGCAAGATGGAAACATCCGGCATGTGGCCTTTTCTCTGCTCCATTTTGGATTGCATGATTTACCAAAAACAGTTTTATCCTTTGAATGGAAATTCAACAAATTTCAAGATTTTTACTGAGGAGGAAAGGGTTCCAATGAAGAAAGTCATGCACACTGAATATATTCCTGTCAGTATTTCAGTTGCCCTAATGCAGGGGAAAACATGGCACCTTTTTTATAGCAAAGGTCACCTTAACACCTGCTTTTTATTGTTGTTACAATGAACATAAATGCCATATCCATACCTACCTGGGAGCCTTACACTGTGTGAAAAATAAGACCCAATAAATCCAAAGACAGCAGTAAGTCAAAAGACAAAAATGTTTATTTTTAATTATGCTCTACATAGAATGCACATTAGGTAAATACATTTAGGTAAGTTTACCTTCGTAAAGGTGCAACGAAAAGCATAATCTCTGTTCATTCCAACCTTTCTTTACATTTCAAAAAGCAAAAACAGAACATAAAATTCAGTCAAAATGATTCACATGCCTGGAATTGAATGTCCAGAGTGATCTTTTAAATGTTTCTTTTCTTAGACCTTAATCCTCAGAAAGTTTGCAAGTCTTAAAACAAGCATGTTTGTACCCACAAAGCAGAAGTAATTTGGGCTTGCAATTCAGCAGATGTGCTAACCTTTTTCTATGTGTGTTGGTTCATCAATATGAAGATAATATTGTAATGACCAAATTGATATATTCCACTGACAATCAACAGACAAAGATCTCTCTCGCTCTTTCCACATTTATTTCCTTTAGAACCTGTTCTGTTTTTTTTTTTTTGACATCCTCTCTAAAACTGCCAGTATCACATACAATACAATCACATGTGCACTTATATAAAATTAAATAATAATAAGAGTGTCAACTTCACATCAACCAACATCTAGATGCTGTAAATGTTAACAGTACTTATTCTAACATTTTTCAATTAATTTATTTCTTTTTTTTTTGTAGTTAATGACACGGAGGAAGTTGGGGCCCTACAGGCTGTTGACATAAACAACCCTGACACCACTAAATGGATCTTGCGTGAGTTAGAGCCTCTGAGCAAATACAAGTTCTATCTCCGCTCCTGCACCGCAGTTGGCTGTGGGCCTGTCGTCAGTGAGGAGAGCATCACCAAGCTGCAATCAAGTGAGTGAGAGGCGGTGGGTGCTGGGGGTCTAGACCGGCAGCTTATCCCAGACTGTGTTTCTACTAAGGTTAACAAGTGAACAGTGTGCGAAAATGCACAGACTGCGGGTCTGCGGGTTGACTAACGTTGCACAGACCACGTTAGTCTAGTAAATGAGGGTCTGTTCAGAAAACTGCTTTTGAGTAGATTCCCATGTCAGTAAAGAACCATCTGGCTTTCTGTAAAATTTAAAACAAAGGTTTAAATTTCTGGGAAATTATTGTGAGCCAGCATGTGTTCGTGTTATCGTTTTTGAATGCGTACTTCACTTCGGAAAATTGATTTTACTTTAGTGTCTGTAAATGAAGTGCAGTGGTGAAAATCACTGCATACAGTTTTTTTTTTCTTTGTTGTTCTTTTTCTTTTTTTGTTTTTTTTTTTTTTTTTTTACCTAACTGCAAGACCAATATATTGGCTGTACTGGAGCTCATTATGCAAAGATTACTTGGTGTTTAAAGATGAAATCCTCATAATCACAGAAAGACACTTAATTGGCTATGGTTTATTTTCAAGCTTAAAAGCCAGTGAAAATGATTACAAGGAGAATGACTCATTTTTATATAGTTACTTATAATTTCACTGGGCGGCTTTATGTGTGGTGGAGAGACAGAAAGCTATTTGAGGGTGCTCTGCTTTCAGTCACCAAACATGTCAGTGTTGTTTCTGCTAATGGCCCTCTGTCTGTACTCTCACATGCCACTAAATTGTGCATTGCTTTCTGATTTTGCTTTGATCATTCAGTGTGTGTTGTAAATTTGTATGTGAATGTCGTACATCTGCTCAGCCATGCAATGTTTGTGTGCTCTTCCTTTCATTTTGTTCTCATATTGTTTTCCTCTTTCAGCATCTTTTTCGGCCCCTACTGTTGGCATCAGTATGTAGATCTGTTTATCCAGAAATCGGCACATCATACCAACATGCATACTATAACTTTCTTTACTTTTTTGCAAATATGTATTATAATGTTTGGATGCTCTTTTCATGTTGTAATATTTAATTGGGGCTTTAGTGATAAGCTAACGCATAGTAGAACAAAATTGAACTCATGGAGTTAAAAGTCTTTTGTTTTTTTAACTCTGAAGAGCGTGGCATGCATTTCTATTTAGCCTATCTTAGCCAAAATATACTGAACAATTTTTGGCTCATACTGTACATGCAGGCTATTTGGGGTATGTTTCTTTTCCATCAAAAGATTTATTTTTCCAATTTGTTGATTTATGTAGTTATTTATTTTTGGAATGGCTCTGGTACTGTCAGATTTGAATGAGAGCAGCGTGATGAACAGCAGTTTTTTAAGTCTTGCCACAGATTCTCTGTTGGATTTGGGTCTTTGGCTTTGTCCATTGTTACACATAAACAAACTAAATCAGTGCTTTACAAACTCAATGCTTGGGACACACGATACTGCTCCAGCACACCTCTTACAAATCTTTTCATTCCATCCTCAGCACTATTAAACGCTGCAGAGATCTGATTATTAGAGTAAAGGGAAGAGAATAGAATATAATATAATAGAAAAATCCCTTTATTGTCCCACTATGGGGAAATTCTGGTGTTGGAGCAGCAAAACATTATAGAAACAAAATGGTCTCACAAATGTGGATCTTAGAAAAGTGTATAAAAATAACAGGAGGGGGATCTTTATGAATGCCACACTTTTCAGACTTAAATCTGTAAAAGCGTATTTCACAATTGTCTTCTAATTTGTTTTGCTCTAAAAAAAATTCCACTGAAATTAATTTGTAGTTTTAATAGGAAAAAAATAGAAAAATGTGAAGCCCTGAATACCTTTGCTCGGTATTAAATGCTTATGAACATGTTGCATGTTGGTATGAGTTGTCCTATAATTTAGATGCATTAGATACAGTAGCAGTTGCATGTTTTAGATGTAGGTGGGCAGACATCAGTGCTTGCTGTGGGCCTCAGTTTCAATCAAAAGGACACATCCTATTGGTCCTTTATAGCAGTCTGAAATTACAGCTCGTCTGCAGATAATTGACCCTGTCTGCTGCTTGCTCTCGCCATCAGCAGAGAGCACTCGATGCCTCCTTTCATTAGAAAAATGTCAACTTCCTCTCAGTTAAAGTTTGTTGCTTCCCCTATGATAACAGCAGTAATGAGTAAGCTAATTGTAAACTCATATTAATTTCCCCTTATTAGCACCTGTAAACGAAAGTAGACTTTAATCTAGCAACAGCAATCTCCATGCTTCATGTCACAGTGGTAGCTATGGTAATAAATCATGCTTTAAGAACTACTTGTTGTTTAAAATAAATGTGTAGTTTTGTAGTATTTGTAGATGTATAGTCACTAACTATCATCAAGTACAGAATTTGTTCTAAAAAAAGAACCTAGCTTCCCAGCTTTGCCTCTTATAACCAAAAGATTTGTTTGTCTTTTAGGAAAGTCCCTTTCAACCACGAGCACTCCAAGGTCACATGTAACCAAACCCACTCGTTCGAGCATAGGTATAGCAGCAGACCTTTTTGATACAAACGGCAAGGAAACTATTATAGCTACTGCCAGACCGTTTTGTCAAACCAAACACTTTAAATGTGGTTTAAACCTTAAAGGACTAAATGTCATAAACAGTGTTTCCATATGGTTTATAAAACAATGTTTAAAGATAAAATCTACCCTTCCCCTCTAGAAATGCTTTTACATGAACATGTCTTTCATTATATCACATATGCTATAAAGCAAGTGGTATTATTATCCTTGATTCGTAAATGTATGTGTTTGATACAATTCCCTCTTCAAGGCATTTAGTAGTGTGTTTATGTCTGCAGCAAAACATGTGAGAATGCAATCTTTAAAAAAATAATCTAGCCGACATTATTGAATTTGTTGTGAAAGAAGTGACGACATGATGCTCTCTGACAATACTACCTGCATTTTGTGGCAACATACAGTAGCACCAATGTTATTAGTAGACATTGGTCTAAAAACTATAAAAATTTGTGTTTCTATCAGTGCAGTCTGTCCTTCACTATTTTCCAAAAACAGCCAAAAAGGCAGCCGTTTACAGTATGGAGACTCTTGTTCAAATTGTTGTTGATGTTTTTACTAGACAATGTTGAAATGAGAAGAAAAAAGGTAAGATTTTATTGCCTTTTATGTCATGTTTTTTCTAATTCATAAAAGTTACACTGACAATAAACAGATTTAAAAAATACTGAGTAAAATCAGGTTTCCATCAAGACCGAAAGCAACTTTCAGTACTGACTTTCACGCAACTAATGTGTTTAATTTTTAAAGTAATTTAAGCAAAACATATTTTATCTAAGGCATAATTTTTTCACACTATATGAAAACATTATATTCCAAGCAAATGTAACATTTTGGCTTAATTATTATTATTTTTTTTTGACCAAAATTTATTTATATCAACTAAATAGGTAAATATTTTGGTGATTCTGTAAAGTAAAACTTTTACGGCCAAGATTAATAACAACATTACTTTGTTATAGTGTGATTTCATTTTCTACCAGAGCAGCTAGATAGCTTTCATTCTATCTCTTGAGAGGTCACTGACCCAAACACAGGAAAAGTAGTATTACAGTATTAAAAATAAATAAATAAATAAATTTTTCTATTATCCATTTGTGGTTTTACTGTGCTTGTAGAAGACAAAAAAAAAAAAAAACTACTACTACTGTTTAAAATATCATTAAAAGAACCCCCCCAGAAAGTCAAAGGTAATGGTAACATTTTACCATTTTCACAGGTAATGAGCTAAATGCATGTCTGAGGTTTTTCTTAAAATTGGAAGAGCACTCCATTCTTAGAGCAACATAAGTAGAAGTTAACAGTTTTTTTTATTATTTTATTACTGTTAGAGTAGTTTAATATCTTTGCCATACCACAGGGAACTCTAGGACATACGATCTATATCCTTTTTCACTAGTGTGTCTGCAGAGAGCAGTCACTTGAACAGGACAAATATGTCTAATTGTAGTTGATTGATTTGTTTTGCCCTGGCCCCACCTTTACACGGCTATATATTGACCCAGCAGCCACCTGAGATTTCCATGTAATCTTCAACTGGGTAAACAGCCACAAAAGAAAAGAAAAAAAAAGAAAAGATGTGTGCAGCCATATTAAAAGAGAGGAAGCATGGAGGACATTCTTCCAGGCCATGCCAGGACTAAGGTACTGTGTGAGCTAATGTTGGGAGGGTGATATTTCAACAGCCCTAAGTGGATAAGTGGAAGCTGATGAAAGCACCTGTATCAGAGTATTTCCTAGCATTGCCTTTTACCAAGAGGATTCTGACTTTGAAGGGGCGTCTTCCAGAGCTCAGGCTCCCTGCTGGCTGAGCTGCTGCTCTGTGCAGCGTTTAATTGCAGGCTGAGGAAAGAGAAGACAAAAACACAGCAATGTGCGCTGCAGTATTTTTAGTCCAGAGCCCTTGCAAGTTGAAGTCTCAGACAGATGCAGTGACTTGAATTACCATAGCTACACTCTAATCCATCTGCATTACCAGGAGAGTGTCATGTTGTGTTAGGGATGGACAGGCTTGGCACAGGTGTGTTTGTGAACTGAATTATCACCCGAACAAATAAGGCACCTGAGCTGGAGACAGAGGGGAAGATTTGCATATTTGTCTTATTGGGAAGAGTTGGTTCGTGCTTTGTTGACCAGCTTAGAAATCTGCTGTTAAAGCACCTGTTTTTCAACCTAACATACATTACTCCCCCGCATTAGCTGTTATCCAATTAAAAGAATAGAACACTTCATAGACCTTTGGAGGAAGGTTTAACTACTAACAAATCATTATCGCTCCTTGAAATATACAGTATAATTAGCACTGCATTCATGATACTAATTTGAGGTATCTTTAGCACCTATTTGTATTTTCAATATTAATATCAGACATAAAGATGGAGTCAAATAAAATTAAAATTACCTGAATTCAGTTAAATAGTTCAATAACCCCTCTTGTAGTATACAGTTAAAAAGTAAGCTAAATGCATGTCTAAGATTTGGATGGTAAAAATTTAGTTTGTCAAAAAAAAAAATATATTACATAGTTGAATGCGTTTCAAAGAGACATGATTTACAGAGGTGGTCTGTTTACACAGTGCCTTGCCATGGCAGAAATACTCTTTACAGATTTTTCCCCCCATATTTTGTAAACCTAAAAACCCAAGAAAAAAAAAAAACAATGTAAAACAAGGCATATGTGGGTTTAAAAGGCACTAAATGTCACTAAAGGTGACATTTGGCACTAAAGGTCAACAGCGCATCGGAGGCATTGGGAGATAAACCTTTACCATCCTTATCACGTTATATTAACAATAAGTTGAGCAAAAAATAAAGAAAGATTTTAACATAACATGTTGGTTTGATTCTAGCAACCAACAATTAAAATCCCGAACACCGATCCCACACTGTAACAATAACATGCCCTGGATTAAACCATCTGGTGTTAATAAGTGCTACAATCCAACCTTATCAGTGCTGCATTCTGCTTTGCAAGAATGATTATCATTAACATATAGGGCAGATATTCAGCTGTTGAAATGTCTTGACAATACAAGCCGCATTTATTTGGCAAATTAAAATTAGATGGATAGAGGATAGTCAATAAATTCACTAATCCAAAAAATATGTAGTAAAAATATCATTTTTCTTTTTTTAAGGTTTTTTGTTTTTTTTAAAAGCATTCTCAGCTACATGTCTTTGAACCAAAACTCCTGAACACTTTAATTGAATGAATGATTCATCTGCTTTACCCTTTATTAACAATTACTTTCTATTCTCTCATTCCCTTCATTGTGTCTCATTATTCCTTTAGTCCAAGCCCTGTTGAATGTCACCTCAGTTGTTAACAGCAGCTTTGTAAATATCAGCTGGATACCTGGAGGACAGCACAAAGAATTTTATGTTGCATATATGAACAACCGTAAGCCCTTTGGATCTCTTTCTGCCCCAGTTTGTGGTTGCTCTAGAGTAGCAGTAATACAATCCACAGTGCCTTGAAAAAGTATCCAGTATACTTGTCATTGAAGGGCTTTACACTTTTCTTTTCTTTCACACACAAATCTCAAATTTTCTGTGTGATTAATCAGAACAAAGCAGTGCATGGTGAAGTGAAAAGAAAAGGACACGTTATTAAAAAAGAAATCTGGAGAGTGTGGTGTGTACTTGTTAGGGTGTAACCATCCACTTTCTCTGCTTCATTTACACAGAAATATTCAGACTATGAATTAAATATTGTTATTTCAGCTGTTAAAAAAACAAAACATATTCAGGATACAATGATGTAATCAATGTGGACTTAAAGTGCAGACCCTCAGATGTAATTTGAGAGCACTCACACAAGGTAACATTGGGCTCTTCCCTTGTTAACCTGCCATCAATGAAGGAGATAAAATGTCTGGATTGATTCCAGGAGTAGCTTTTGCATTTGAAAGCTGTTTCTGTGAGCCTATAACATGGGGTCAAAGAACTTCTCAATGGAGGTATAACAGATCATCCTGAGGCTGAAAACAAAAGAATTTCATCAGTTAGCAGAAATGTTAGGAGTGGTCAAATCAGCAGTTTGGTACATTCGTGAAAAAAAGATTGCACTGGTGAGCTTGAGAACTTTAAAAAAAAATGGAGTAAATACAAAAGGTACACCACAACTTGCAAACATATTTATCAGCCTAAAACTCAGAAAGGCCAGAACTGGCTTTACCAAAAACAGCCGAAAAACAGCCGTTCCAGCCCAGTTCTGGAACAGTATTGTTTGGACAAGTGATACTTAGATTTCATTATTCAAGAATAATGGGAAGGTTTGGAGAACGATTGGAACAACTCATGATCCAAAGCACACTGCATCTTCTGCAAAAAATGATGGAGGCTATATGATGGCATGGCCACTCATGACTTCCAATGGAACTGGATCACATATCTTTATTGATGATATGATAAAAGATAGAAGCGGCTGTTCAATTCTGAGGGATATACTCTCAAGTCCAAGAAATATTTTTCTATAGGAATATACTTTCTGCTCAGGTTGAGCCAAATGCAGGGACGTTATTTGAACTGTGCTTCAAAGTACAGATAGACAATGATACAAACGTACTGTAAGAGCAACCCAGGAGTTTTTTTTAAATCAAAGAAGGGTAATATTCTGCAACTCCTGAGTCAATCAACAGATCTCAACTCAATTAAGCATGGATTTCCCTTGCTCAAGACAAAACATACAGCATAAATACTCACAAACAGGCAACAATTGAAAACTGCTGCAGTAAAGGCCTAGCATACTGTAGTATCACAAAGGAGGAAACCCATCCTTAAGTGATGTCTATTTGTCATAAATCAGCTAAGTCGATCTATGATTCATGTTTTATGATAGAGAGAAATTAAAGGTCTGAGAGAATGTAATCTGGCTTTAATCCTTCACCTCACAGTCTGTGTTGCCATGTTTTCCCTTCCAAAACCTGTGTACGCATGGGTCAGAGTTGGCCTGAAGAGACCGCATGTTTATATACCAAGTTTATTTTTGATAGATGCCAACCTTTGTGTGGAAAGTGGCAATACAAATTGTGAGGCCCCTTTTTGTGCCTACACAAGGCTCTAACCCAGACCCCAGATCAAAATCTAAACATTTTATATAAATCTGATTTGATAGGCTTACCACAGTTTTTTGGTTAATATTTGGAAAACTTCACCCTGATGCACTACTTGTTTGGTCTATCATATGTAATCTCTATTAAATATCTTGAGATATGCTGTTTTAAAAGTACAAAATTATTGTTAAATACTTTCTACTTTTGCAAAGCACTGTAGGATATATTGTGCCTTTTATGTAATTACTGCATTAGATAGCACTAACTATGAGTTTTGACGAGTGCTGACTCTTTACAATGGTTCCCCCTGTGCACAGGTGAGGGTCACTGGAAGATATCAGAGACCTTAAACACCTCTATGACTTTTCACATCATTGACGGGCTTGAACCTGAGACTGATTACACTGTGCGCCTGATTCCTAACAGATGGCTTGATAATTCTAGTATATTTGAAGATGTTATCACGACCGGGTCTACAGGTGAGAAGGGTCTCTCAGACATAAAGGAACAGAAAAGTTATTGACCTCTTGATTAGAATACAGAGCTGTGTCCTTGAGTTCTGCCTTATGCCACAACGTTGCAGTCCTTCATGCTGTCCATAGAATTTAATTTAGCTCACCAAGAGGAATTACATTTGTCCAACGTTCCTTGCTTGATTAATTAGACAAGCAAGATTAGCTGTTTAATATTAATACTGGACCATTTCCATCAGCATTTCAGCCTGCCACTTTCTGCCCGAGCATCAGATAAGATTTGTCGATGCAAACATTCAATCAAGTGTCCGGATGAAAAGGCCAAGCCGAGTCAAAGTCATGGGCCATTGTTCTCCACAGGTCTGGCTAGCATCCACGGAGGAATATCCACCCAGGGCTGGTTTATTGGTCTGATGTGTGCCATCGCTCTTCTCACACTCATTGTGCTGATCGCCTGCTTTGTCAATAGAAATAAAGGAGGAAAGTACTCTGGTAGGTGTAAACACACACACACACACACACGTTGTATCATCCTTTCCTTGTAGGGACTTTCCATTGACTTCCATTCATTTCCCACTCATTTCTTATCTTAACCATTACCAACACATACCTAATCCTAAATCTGATATAAACTCAATTCACACCTTTGTTCTTAATCTAACACCCACCCGAAAAGAGAACCTACGTAAGTCCCCAGAAGTGCCTACAAATCCCCAAAATGTAGCTTATTCCTGGGAAATCATCCCCAGGATTTATTAAAAACATGGCCATAAACACATACACACATAGATCTCCATGTTTGAATACTAATTGTTGCCTAAAGTATCATTTTTATTCCATATTGTTTGTTCATGTGAAAGGAGTGATCAGTCATTCAAGAAAGCACTGTAGGAATGTGTATTTCTAGACAGCAAAACTATTTTAATGCAAATATTGACATAATAGAGTGCTGTGCTGTTGAAAGAATGAACATTTCCCTGCATGTCTCTCATTTTAATTTTTTGCATGGCTTGCATAGGGGGTTTAAGCTTCAACAAACAATCAAAACAAAGAGACAAATGCAAATCCTGTGGACAAGGTTACTTCAAGAAGAGTGATGACATGAGCTCAGCGCTATCCGAGTTTGCTGTTCATCTCATTGCAGAATTAGGAGCCCTTATCAACATAATTTTTCACAACTAATAACTTAGAGGTTGCTGCTACTTTGCTCGTAAAGGCGGAAAAAAGCTAAAATGTGTTTCTCATTTTAGCCCTCATTATCACTGACTTCTATTAGCCGATTTTGATATGGTTCACCTGTCTCCCTTTTTAGTCTACTATGCCACTGGGAACGCCACAGCTGTAAATGGGTCCACCATTCTCTTTTACAGTCAAAACTCATTAAAAAAATGACACCAAATTATATATATATATATATATATATATATATATATATATTCACTTTCGTTTGACAGACAGACGGACAGACAGACAGGTGCATTAAAAAGAAAAGGTTTTTTGATGAATGATGTTTATCAGAGGGTGTGAGTGTGTATGGTGTTTGCAGTGTGTAAATAACATTTAGTAAAGAAAACAAAATGTTATGAATTATGAAGTGTTAAAACTTTTTCTAAAATGCTCTCATTGATGTTTCAAGTAGAGAAATTACTTATTATTGTTCAAAGAGCAGTCAAGGGACCCATTCAACTTCAGCAGAAGGGATCTCTAGTAGAAATCTCTCATCATGTTTCATCAATTTGTGTGCAGTGAAAGAAAAAGAAGACCTTCATCCAGACGTGGAATCCCAGGGCATGAATGATGACACATTCTGTGAATATAGGTAAGTGCCCCCCCTCCCCATGAGAAGAACGTTCCACCACCTCACCACATCCCTGTGAATGTCAGCTGGTCTTTTTCCATCTTCTCTTCACAATAATTCTCTTTGCCTTCTTGCCTTCCCTAAAAAGGCGCCCCAGATTCCACGAGGTTCCCATGGAGCCTCGCACCTGTCCTGCCGAAGACATTTGACGGACTGAGTAACTGTGAAGTATGTGATAAACGGCAAGAGTGAAATGGCTGTTTACACATCGGCTTCATCAAAATAGTTGCCCTTAGATTTGGTGTTGTGTTGGTGTGTTGTGAAAGCTCAGAGAGCTGATAGGGAGCCACTGTTCTGCTCTGATGTTTCTAATTTAAAGAAGCTAAAATCTGGCTGCCAAGAACCCCGCAGAAGCCTAAAAAAATGTAATTGATTGCGCCTCATCTCCTGGACAGTAATGTCACTGTTTGTTGCATTGATCCTTTAGTGTTGTTATTCATTATTGTCTAATTCTCCCATCAGTGGGGTCTACATATCATATAGCCTAATATACCAGACTAAATGTGAGATTAAATGTGTCATTTAGTCAGGCCCCGATGAATGAGACATCGGAGATTGTTGATGAGAACAACCCGTTGTTTTTCAAACCTCTGTCTGTACCTTTTAGCCAACACTCTGACCAATGAGCGCAACTGACTGACGACGGTAGTGCATCAGAAAGCTGGTGGGGGAGTGTAAACAAACAACCTCTCGGTAAAACAGCGAATACATCCTTCTTCAAAATTAATGAGCGTAGAGCCTCTTCCTGCTCACGTCAAGTCTCATCCTTCCAAAACTGATTCCAAAGCAGAGTCAAATGAGAACTGTTCAAGAGTTGTTGCCATCTTCCTTGTTGTGCTTTCTCCAGCGTCGCCCAGCTTTGTCATCATGCCCTCAAAACCCCGCCCGCTTTGCATCCAGAAATTCAAAACACATATCTGCGTTGTGATTGGCCTGCCAGTTCTAGGGCGTGGGGGATTGATCGAGGACAGACCACTCGCAGGCAAAAATGATTTTGGCCGCTGGCGGGTGGGGCTACTTTACTAGGCTACATATCACAACAAATTCTGATGTGATGAAGTTAAAGTTGATCAGCGTGTCAGCATTTATCTTTTGTCATATTCACTTCAGAAGCCCGTTGACCTGCATTTTAAATGGTTGGCATCACCTACTATTTGCATCAAATGGATAATTTGCAGTCAGTATTTAAAGCTTTGATGTTTCACGTGATTAATACATAATTTTACCATTAAAAGATTTTAAACTTAAAAAAAAAAAACTTAAGATAAAACTCTTTCAAATAATTAGTAGTTCAGTTACCTGAACTAGTTTAAGTCTTATCATAATAAGTTTATAGAAAAGTCAAGGAGTCCACATATTTATTGAAGGGCAAAAGAGGTGTGGATTGTTACAGCTACATCTAGTTGATACAGTTTACACTAGAAGGCTTTTTTTACACTGAATGCAGTCATGTATTTGTAGACATTAAACTAGTAGCTTTAGCTCTCTGTGGATTCATTAATTTTTCTAGAACGTCACTGTGGTGTGACAACTTATAGAGATACACAAATTCTAAGTTCAGCATTTTTTTTTGATTTTCTGAAAAACAGATTTATACTTCTCTTTAAAATTGGCTGCAGTCACTTAGCTTTGCATAGATTATAATGGCATGAAAAGAGGTTAGGGTTGTAATTTATATGGAGTTTGCAAACTCTACTGTAGATGTAACTTTGTGTTATTATCATTTAATACTGTTGACAATGTCAGTATTGATATGGTAGTTGTATTTCAAGGTATGGCTCCTTAGACATGAATAAAATCCATCCTGAAGTTAATTTCATTTTTTTGACTATGAAATTATATCTACCAAAATCCTGTTTATAATCCTTACTTTCCTTACTTTAGCATAATATTTTGTGCTATAACTACTGTTAGAATTTGCACATTACCTCATGATATGATAAAAAGTGCATTTAGTCAAGGACCAGCTTGATATTTTAATGAGTTAATGTTTCAAACCAATTACTCTTTATTTTGCCAGACGTCAAAAAGGTTTATTTCATAATAAAGACAGAAAGTTGGAAGGTCCCACCCTGTAACTAAAAAAACATAATTAGCTAGATATTTTTTAGATCAATTAGAACTTTGAATTTCTGTATGTTTGGCAATATTAGTCAGTTATAATACAGAGAAAAAGAGATTAAACATCAACAAAGGTTTGTGGATTGTATGTTATCAGCAGCTACCAAGTACAGATTGTAAACTGAAATCAGACATACAATATGGTCTAAGTATTGAGTATGGGATTTCATTGCATATAAGTCATCCAAATATATTCAACCATCCGATGGCAGAAAAAGGCTTAAAACAGATTTCGTGGTATGTGTTTAACCACGCGCACTGTTCAAACAAGGGAATTCCTCTACTTCTATCATACATCATGCATCGTGACCTCTGAACTTTTGAACCATGTGGTTTTGTCGTACAGTTTGAGCTATAGTCGAGTACAAAGATTTAATCTACAGTGTATTCCCACCCTTAGTGGTGAAACCAATGGCCCAACCTTGTAGCCAATCAGATACATTGTGCTCTCTTTTTTATCTCAACTCTTCAAACCCTGGCCAAGTAGTTTTTAAATGGATCTGGTACCAAGTAACAATTCAAGGCGGATTACACCATTACATCTGTTTTAAAACTTAGCAGCCAAACAAGGGGATGGTAATGAAATGTTCTTGGGTTCATTGCTTCGTCAGGACAGGTATGACTTTCTGTAATAAATAGAACCCTGTAATCTTAAGTCTAGCAGAAACTCCTGGAGGAGAACATCATGCCACCAGCTTAGAAAAGGTAGCTCAGGCAGATATTTGTTAGAAAGCGGGAAAATAATCCATTCTTTGCTTAAAGCAAAATGAAATTCTAGGTGAGAACTAGTCACTATCTGGACTTCATAGCAAACTGTTGTAGTATAGGATGTTGTCGTTAAACTTTTCTAGACAGGGCCAGGTTGATTTCTACAGCTTTCTGTGTTTTCTCTGGTCATCTTTGTCTGATATGAAACTGTGTTTGACATGATTTAAGATGCAATAAGAGACTAAAACTGGAAGGGAGCTCCTTTTCAAAAATCTTTCCTATTCACAGCGTTATTTAATATTGTTCAGCTGGTGTTCCTGCTGGGTTAAGCAAGTAATGTTTTCTTTTAGCATTAAACATTTTATTCACCTGTTTGTTGCTTTGTGCATAAATATTCTCAATAAGAAGTTTCAATATTTAGTTAAGCTAACATAATATTACATAGAACATTCTATGTAATACTCTCACTGGTAAAATGCATCAGAGGATGACAGCATGAACAAGCTATCATCAGCCCTGTCCCTGTACATGATACCCCCGTCACCCCCCCATGGCTAAATTTTTATCCTTTGTCAAAAGCATCAATGCACGTTAAAATTGGATGTGACTTCGTCTCACCTGTGTGATTACTTCCCATTGGTTTGCCCATGGTAGAAGCTGGTGTCGATCACTGAAACTCTTTGTGGAGGAAGTGATAGCTCCTACCTGCCCTCCATCTTCTCCTCTAGTCAATAGAGTAAAATCAAAGGTGTAAGGGTTGGAATTCTAAATTCATTGTGCTTCTCCCATAGCGACAACGACGAGAAGCCACTGAAGGGCAGCCAACGCTCCCTTAGCAGGGAGATCAAAGCAGCAGACAGCGGGGACAGCCTGGTGGACTACGGTGATGAGGACGTTCAGTTCAACGAAGACGGCTCATTTATCGGCGAGTATGGAAGCCGGAAGGAGAAGAGGGCATCCACTGAGATCAAAGCCCCGACTCAGACCACGGCGTGAGGAGCAGATGAGCATATCATCACATTGACTCCATTCCACCTTCTGGAGAAGCCACATATTGAGGAGCACAATGACTTTATCAAATAAGAAACCACTTGTGTCATAAACAGTCATTGCCAACAGCACACTGCCACTCTCATTCTTTAAAGCTCTGTTCTTTCATGTTGCAACACGAGCATTACTAAATACCATGTATATATAGTGTATATTGTATGTGCTAAGTGTTCCTTTTTTTTTATAATTATCACAAAAACTTTAGAGGTCGTGATTTGTTTTGTATTATTTCACCTCCATATTGGTGTTTTGAGCTGCACCCTGATTTGTACAAATGGTAAACTCTCCATCGCTTTCCTCATCATGAAATGAATTTCTGCCACTGATGTCACTGTGTAGCAGGCCACAGATGAGTTGGTATTTTTCAAGTGGAGAACTTATTACTGACCTTTTATATTTGAAACTATTCATTAAATATGATGTAAGCTGTGTAAAAAGTTTCCTATTAACTTATTTTTCTCAGTGGTTTTATACCTTATGAAATAATGAGAAAATATTTGTACCGCCGCAAGTATCCTGAGTCATGAGTCTAAATCAGAAGCATCAAATATTTTTTGTAAGATGATCACTGATTTTTATTTTTTTCAGGTAAGATTTTAGACATGTAAGTTTACAAGGGAACTCTTGGCCTGAGCCCAGTTTGCTCAGGATTTTAAGGCAGCCAGTTCCAACTCAAGCAAACAATGTTCAAAGCTACAGTGAGTGGTTATTTAGTTTAACCTCTTGTTAAGACTGAAATGATAGTCTGAGGATATAGTCAGTCAAAAGAAAAGCCTGTATGCGTCTGTAATTTCATTTTTTTTTAATGTATAAATCCCTTTACTGTCCCCCATCCCATTGGGCTGCAGTGGGCTGCCATTGTGTGGCGCCTGGGGTTAAGATTTTTGCTTAGGAACCAGGAGGACAGGCTGTGGGGCTCAAACCAGGTACTGGCAACTTTTTTAGAGCACAAGTTCCCTGTTCTTACCACTAGGCCAACACTCCCACAGAGCTGTACAGTATGTCACACCTGAAGTCTGCGTGTGTTTACTACATGCCTTCTGATCTGAAAGGTGCACTTACAGACATTCAACACTGTTAGCATAACCTAAAATATTTCACTTCCAATGTCAGTGAGTTGAAAAAATATTTCTATCCCTCAATTCGTTCATCTTTTATGCTGTTCAACCACCAACCTTGGTATGACTAAGTGGTAGTTTATGTAATAGATGTTAACAAAATGAGAAAAAGGTCTATATTTTTCAAAAATTATTACAAATAAAAATCTAACATGTAGAATGCACCTGCATTCTCGATGCTATAGAATCTTTTTGGGGCCTCAATCATTTGTAGAGTCCAACTGGTCTTCTTTCAGGATTACCAACTATTAAGACCTAACCATCTTCCCATGTTCACCGACATGGTTTTCATATGGAAAATTATATAAATAGGGCATATTGTGCAACCTTTTGTATCTGGGTCGAAATAAGCTGATGGTAGTGTGTTTAAGGTACCACACGGATGGTAAAATCCTGGCAGGTTGGCAGCTGCTCCATAGTCAAAATATTTTCCATAATTGACCCAACAGAGAACAGTAAGATTTTTATAAGTCTCTCCACAGCACTTTCCTGGCCTGTCTGTTGTGTTTAGGTTTCCATGTTGCTTCATTAATGTTCATTAACAAACCTTTGAGAGCCTCAGAGAAAAGCTGAATTAAAGGGGTTGAATACATATGCATGCCTTTTTTTCAAATTATGCACATTATTTCTAATGCATTTAAGTTTTCTGATGTAACGTGACAAAAAGGCCAACAGTTACGGGGTTTGCCAATTTTACGGGGAAGTTTATTTGCCTATTTGCAAACACACACACAAACACACACACAGTTTGATGGGATCAAATTGCAAATCTTAAGTGTCAACCTTGTGTCATCAGTGCGTGCAGAAAACTTGAGACTGCTGACTGTAATTTACAATGTCTGGCAACAAATGGAAATGGATCTGATAATTTGCAGCTAATGCATAACGTATAAGTATATCTTTACAAGATGTGAAACTTTCCTTGCAAAGTGTTCGTTCGTGCTACATGCTAGGACATTTTAAACAACAGATTTTTTTTTACTTGGGTCAGACTTAAAAAACATAAATTTTTCTCTTATCTGCATTTTTTATTCATTCTCCAGTTTTATTTCAACACACACTGGACCAAAAAGTCCTTATAATCTGATAACTTTATCTGGCAGCATATACTTGACATTCAAAAGTTGCAGTAATTTTCAGTTAAATGTCCTAACAAGCCTTACACTACCATGCAAACCACTGTTTTTCTCTTTTCATATTTCCATTAACAAACATGGACATGGTTTGTAAAGAATCGCCATTGCATGTTACAAATATCGATTGATATTCTTTTTTATGTCATTAAATTGCTTTACTTTCCTACATTTGTGTTACTCTTCTGTCTGTCTGCTTTCAGTCATCGCTGACCTGAGATCATGAATCTTCCTGAAACCTTCATTGCTATTTGCATTTCCAGGATATTAATACCTCCAGAAACGAGTCTTTGCCCTTTTACCTGCAAATTGAAATGGAGAAAAAGCAACCACCTCATTCCATCTGAATAAACTGCAGTTTGTTTGACAAGTTATCCCACTGGAAGCATATTTTTCACCAATGTCACATCACAATGTCATGTTTGTTCACTTTAGATTCAAAACGGGATAGGAAAAGGACAAAAACAAATAACAGAAGACAAGCTAGGCAGGAGCAGAGGTTAAATCAAGGAGCAAAACCTGTAATCATGACTGAAGGAAGTGAAGAGTATCAACATGAGAGTTCTGACTGCTTGGTTCATGTCTGCTTGAAATACTCCCAGCCTCATTTTGTAAAGGCTAGGACCTAGTAATAAACCCTCTGGAGGTCATTATGAATGGCCTTAACTCTTTATTAAAGCTGTGTCAAGAGCTGAGTGTGTTCCTAAACATGCAGAGTAGAAACTGACACGGGAGTGGATTTTCACTCCTGTCCCGTCCCACTCCCACAGAAAAAAATTGTGTCCCGTCCCGATCCCGGGCCAGAGTAGAAATCTAAATGCTGTCCCGTCCCACTCCTGGTGAAATTACTTCCACTCCCATCCCGCTCCCATTCAGAAAAACTCAGAGCGGAAGCACTGTTGGTTTTTGGGTCGTGTAGTTTTTTTGACTCGCATTATAGTGTAGGCTTCAAGGAAAAAAACTACAAAATGGCGGCGCCGCGCCAGTACTGGATTTTTTTTTCTTTCTATTTTATTTTATTTTTTGGCATCAATCCTTGTTTTTTTTTTTTTTTTTTTATTGGTTTGCTCCCGCTCCCGTCTGCTCCCGTTAATGTTTAATCCTGTACCGTCCCAATCACGTGATCGTTACTAATACTGACTCCCATCCCACGGGAATCCCACGGGAATCCCGTGACCCGTGGGATTCCCGAAAAAAGGTCAGTCTCTAATGCAGAGGCCTGCCTAATTGTTTGACTCAAAGTCTATTGCTTTCTAGAGAGGAGTTGGATCATTTGAGACAGTAACATTTTTAGGACACAGCTGAGTATCTACAATTTTACACATTTCCTTCTAGATCTACAGAGATTCTGTTGATTTGGAAGGCATCATCGTTCCGAGCTCACTTAGCCAGACTCATATAGGTCTGTTAAATCTCCAGTCACATTTAACAAGCAATACTCCCATCTGCAAGACCAACAAGACGATGTTTTTGTATGCAGCATTGGGCTTTCAAGGACCAGCTGGTAAAAAGTAAGGGGGTTTGTTAATCTCTGCTGCGGTAGAAGCAAAGGCTGCTTTGGATTCATATCAGTTACTACCTGGCAGATTGCTGCAGCGACACTTAGAGAGGAAGGGCCAAAGTTATACAAAGTCATAAAAGAGTTCCTTTTTTCAAATAACCGTATTCACCATATCTACTTGCAGCACAGTGGTCTTTTGAACCTTGAGTTTAATTAGAGTATAGGATTGACAAAGCCTTAAGCTAATTAGGGAATTGGTAATTATAGGCCCAGCATAGATGATGCCTAGTCATTTTATAGCACCGAAACTTCAATGTAGACTAGTACTGAAGCTGAACAACTCAAAGAAAATTTATTCACCAATGTAGCTATACACTTGGGCCCATATTCGCGACCTCAGCACCATCATGGTCTCACTGACCACTCTGCTGACAGAGAGTTGGTACCTGAGTCATCACTAAAAACAGCTGCATTTTTCCTATAATAAGGTGTTGCAGTTTGTGCTGACCATCATCTCAGGTGTCATGGCATTACTATGCACTGGGTGGGAAACATCAGCTTTTCCTTGATGAGGTAAACCACAACATGAGTTAATCGTTCATTGTGCAAGGATAATTCTCCTTCCTCACTCTGTTTCTGCAATTTCTCTGCTTTAGACACTCTTAGGCTTCTCATTTCTGCTTAACACTTAATTCCACTTAGTTCTTTAACAGTTCTAGGCGCTTTATAAAAAAAACTTTTAATCTCTGGGCTGAAATCTAAGACAAATCATAGAATTTAAGTAAGTCTACAATTAAAATAATGACACTAAGAGCTACCTCTAAGGATTTAGAATTATTCTTACAGCCCCTGGTTATACTGTGTTGAATGTGAGTCCTTTCCTTTGCAGTCCCTTCATCTTTCAAGTGATGTCACACATCATCTACAATTTAATTTTTTAGCCAAAATCCTTAGTTTTTTTTCTGACATGGTCATTCACGCTATATCAATATGACCCTCATTCCACAGTCCCAAAGAGACCTGCAAAGCAGAAGGACAATGTAGACATCTCTTGAGAGACAGCAGGTGCAAATCAGGGCAACGGCACCTGCCACGGCACCGGAGGAGGTTTTAGACAGCCTGCCACTAATTCTTATGACCTGCCGTGTCACAGGAGTGGTGCCACTGATTTCCATGTCCTGCCACGCTACGGGAGCAGGTGCCAGACTGCCCGCCACAGATTTCAATGACCACAGCGGCACCTGGTAGTGGCACTTCCAGGGGGCAGCTAGATCTACTAGTGACATTGCCTTTTGGTACTTGGAGAGTAGTGGTACTTCCAGTTGCACTTCACTGGCATGCGATTGCCACAAGGTGTCACCAAGCTAGCAGGCCACCTGCAGCACTTCTATTGCGATTTATGGGTAAACTGTTTGCTCTTGATGCCTATTCTACAAAATAATCATATTTCATTTATATTATCTATATTAAAAGCTTGTGGAACTTTTACCAGCTGCCTGTCACAAGGTGTCACATGGCTGGCAGTCCAGCCACCGTAACTATAAGCAGATCCTCCTGCCACAAGGTTTCACTAAGCCGGCAGTCTGTTCTGTATTTACTTTCAATTAATGCGATGGTAAAAAAAAAATATTTTTCAAAATGCATTTAGAAAATATAATGTATTTGTAAGCTATTCGTAGTCTATTGGTAGTTATTAATGAACTATACAATTTGACATAGACCTATTATATATTATTTTACCTGTTTCGAAAGACTTACATATATATGTGGCATCCTGTGGCATCTCCATGGCCAGGTACTCTACCGAGTACCAGCATGTTTTTAAGCGTCTTTTTTTCTGTAAAAACCTCCAGTAAACTCTCACATTGCATAATAAGCCAATTTTTTGTGCAGTGAGTCTTTACCATCCTTTCAGCATGTTATCTTCCTACCATGCTATAAGGACATATAGTTTACATTTGATGTAAACAGTCACTTTATATTTTGGGTCTAACACTTCTGATTTTTTTCAAAAAAAAATAATACCATCAAATAAATTTACTTATTCATTTATTTATTAAATAATTAATTAATTTATTTATTCACTCAGCAGCTCTATCTTGACACCCTGTTTGCCAATAATCAGCAGTGCTTCCCCTAAAACAGTAGATGCCTAAGAAATGTCCCATGCATTCATTCAAACCATGGATTTCTGTCTGTAGTGCATCGGTAAGAAACATTCAGGTTGCTCTATCACTGCACCTTCTCTCTAGATTTGTATTTAGAACATGGAACACCCCAGGCGTGACACAAGTGAGTCAGTGAATAGGTCCTATTTTGGTATTTGCAGCAAATCATGGGGTCACACTCTTAAATAAAAGATGTTATTCAGATGATGCCCTTGCAGCAGCGGATATGTTAGAGGTGAAAGACATAAAGTACAGCAGCAAAGGCTTAAGCAGTCCTATATGCCTCAAAGCTTACATATCATGTCACGACCCCAGTCCATTACAATAGCAATTTCAACGGCTCTAGGAAAAAAAAAAGGCTCTATTGTGTGTCTGTACTGCTAATGGAATTCACAGCAGGGGATAGAAGGCAAACCTCTCTTTGGGCATCACCATTTGTTGAGTGATGAATAGAGCAGAGGGGGGGTCAATGACTTCAAGCACAAGGTGGACTTCCAAGAGCTACTCTGACGAGCGAGAGCGCTTTTCCCCTAGACAAAGCACTCCAGCAGCGTTTCATCAAAATCAGAGGTATAAATAATACAAGACTCAAATGAACGTCAGTATTGCCTCGAAGGTCTTGTAGTGGGGAAAAAAAATAGCTGCATTAAGTAAAAAGGAAACGAAAAGTGAAGCCCTTTCTTCGGCTGTATAAATTTCCTTCAATGTTTCACCCAAAAGAGCTGTGAGGGAGACTTCAGGGAAGCAAAGAAAACAGTAGATCAAATGTTTTGTCAGGTGATATATCTGCCATGCTGTTAAATCACAGAAATTTACCCTGGTTAAAATGCTGAGGGTTTTTAAGTAAAAAGAAAGACAATGCACAGTAAATTTTGCAGTGTTAAAGTAACACTTTAAGAGTGCAATTGGTCCCACTCGGAATTAGTTTTAAATTAGAACTCTACGTAGTGTATATCTTACTCCAGTTGTTGATGTAATAACTCTAAAAGAGTCAATGCACTTTGACACTACATATTTGAAACTGTGGAATTGCTTTACATTTTCAAATGTAAATTTTGCAGCTGGAGCAAAGGATTTCCATGCCAGCTCTATAGAGGGGGCTGTGAGAAAATGTAAATGTCATTATTTTATTTGTATTAAGTTACAGGCATTTGGCCTGCTAGGAATGTTCTGTTGTTTTAACTTCAAACCTGGAGAATAAATGGTTCTCCCAGAATTGGAAGTGTTGTGCCTTTTCCAACTGTGTGGTTGCAGGTGACTGATCACCACCCGCAATAAAACTGCACCACCACCCCTTTGTATGTGTAAACCTCTGACCCCTCCTGATACTTCTTTGAAGTCCAATAATAAAGGCAGAGAAGACAAAGATGAACCGGCAGAGTTGAGCCAAGACATACAGGGAGTATCATTCTCCGTCTGGTTCCACTTTCCTCTTCTACAGAAAAGTAACCTGTGTTTGTGTTGGTTGACAATGGTATGACAGTAAGGGGTTATTATTATTAACCCTATCAAAGGCTGGTCTGAAATGAAGCTGATCGAGACAAAGGTGGCAAATTTAGCACCGTCAATGGTGCAATTTTGGTGAAATCAGCTAAATTTGATCGCTGTCACGCCTGTGAATAAAACAAAGTGCACTTTGCAGGAGTTAAAAAAATCTGAACTTTTGTTTACATTTGCAACACAAAGTCCAATCAGGGACTAAATGTGGCTGTGAGCTA